AAAGATCCCAGAGAAGCCATATATTCTAAGGTTTTAGTGAAAGGATCTTATAAATTATAAATCATAATTTATTAAGAAGGCATGTTTCCAAAAGAGAGTTTTACAAGATGTCAGATAAAACTGATAGGCATGGGGGAAACCAGTAGACAAGGAATCTGTCTCTTATAACTTGGAGCAAAAAAAAAAAATCCTGCATTTTTACAAAGCACCAATCTAGTAACAGTGTAAAGCCCTACTGCCCCCACTTTAGATCTGTCTTAGGATTTTATTAAACTCTTCATTGTAGGCTTTAAATTCCTACTTGAATTTTCTCTTCACTTATATTCCTTTTTATTACCTCTATCTGAAAGTTACGGAATCCCATTCCAATTATAAGATGCCTTTACCTGTAGCCAACCATTAATAAGCACTCACCTTAACTTCTCCTTGGGTAACCCATTTAGTCCCAAACTATCTGGCCGATCTCGTCTCCTCCTGTAAAGACCTGAATGGGAAAGTTCTTTCAGCTGTAATGTGGTCATACTTCTTTCTATAAATCAATTTTTTAAAAAGTGTTTCTGTCAAAATAGGTAGCTGCCAAGGTGTCTGGAAAGGAGATTAAGTGAGCCGCTGAGCAGCGTGTCTACTGCACACCTGCACTAGCCTGAGTTAAAACCTCAACACAGGCAGTTAGAGTACAACTTCCTGTTTCTCATATAGGTACACACCCTCTAGAGAGAGAGAGAAAAAGCTGTACTTCCCATATCGTCTGAGCCTTGTACCTATGAGGTCTTGTCATCTGCTGAAAAACAAAACTCTGTGTAGGAGAATAACCCTACCAACTTTTTAATGCCAAGTTGTCCATCACTGACTGAAAAGCTAGAGTCATGTAATGACCAATGAACCACTGGGAATGTGCCTTTAATTTATGCCAGGAAAGCCATCTCAGCACTTCACAAGTAACAGTCCCTTTGAAGACGTGCCTGGTCATCATTCGGTCTTGGGGATTCTTTGCTTAATTAAGGAAGCTTAAGTCCAGAAGGATGGCACCAGGAAGCAATTCAAAATCAACATTCTAATTTACATGAGAAGAAGGAAGGTCAGATGACCTGAGAAAATTTTCATCTTTTCCCCAACATTTGTTTTCCAATAATAATCTGACATTGTTTAAGCTGTTCAGCAAGGCAGTTTCTTTATCGAATTATACAACTACCACTCTTGTTTTCCGAGCTTTACATCCCACTCTACATTTTCTGCCATGAAACAATCAACAAGGGCCTAATATGTGCCAAACAAATTAATCAGTTCCTGGTCTCAAAAAGCTTACCAGGGAGACAACAGGGATGTTTATGTTTATGGGACACATATAAAACTGCAGTTTTAAGCTATTAAGACATAAGCTATCAAGTGCAATCAGACTTTTGGGATACCTAGTAAGAGTATATAAAGGATAAATACAGAACAAAGCTACGTGGTGCCATGGATAGAATACTGGGCCCCAGGTCAGAAAAACTCATCTTCTTGAATTCAATCTAGCCTCAGACACTTATTAGCTATGTGGCCCTAGGCAAGTCACTTAATACTGTTTGCCTCAATTTCCTTATCTGTAAAATGAGCTGGAGAAGGAAATGGCAAACTACTCCAGTACCTCTGCCAAGAAAACCCCAAATGGGGTCACAAAGAGTCAGAAACAACTGAAAAACAACAAAAAACAGACCAATCCATCTATGTAGATTGGTAACTCCAGCCTTCCCTAAAACTTACAGCTAGTACGTGTTCTGAAGCTAACATGAATCTTCATCTTGCTGACTTCAAAACTGGTCCTCTAGTCACTAGGCTTTATTGACCACTCCAGACTGTTTTTCTACTAGAATTAATGTTTGTATAATATGTAGTCAGTTTTTGAGTCATGTTTGACTCTCTGTGACCCCATTTAGGCTTTTCTTGGCAAAGATTCTAGAGAGCCATCCCCTTTTCCAGCTCATTTTTACAGATGAGGGAATTGAGGCAAACAGGGTTAAATTAAGTTACTTGCCCACAGTCATACAGCTAATAAGTGTCTGAGGCCAGATTTAAACTCAGGAAGATGAGTACTCCTGTACCCTGTACCCTATCTACTGCACCATCATCTATAATATGGATATATTTATAGATATAGACATACACATCATACATATATACATAGATATAATAAGTATGTATGTATATACAAAATAATGTATGATATACATATATTATATACACACATTATATATTTGTATAATATATGCACATCGCAAATTGTATATCCAGTAGACATCTTAAACTAAACATGTCCAAAACTGTACTCTGGACAATTTCCCCCCCCAAAAAATCCCTCCCCCAACTTCCCCTGTTATTCTTGAAGACAACACTACCCTCCCTGTCCTTCAAATTGGTAACTTAGGTGTCATCCTCAACTCTTCCCTATCTCTCACCCCTCTAAGATCCAATCTGTTGCCAAGACCTCTTGATTTCACCTCTGCGATATCTCTTCAATACATGCACACATACACACATATGTAGGCTCCCTTAGACTTGTATGAAGTAATGCAAAGGGAAGAAGGCAGAGACCTACCGCAATGAAAATGGAAGACTCCAACAATCAACACATGGGAGAGAGTGAACAAGTATTTATTTAGTGCCTACTATGTGTCAGGCATTGTGCTGTTTCACAAATATTTTCTCATTTGATCTTCATAAGCTTCATTCCCCCTTGAGGAAGGGGCTATTACTATATCCTCATTTGCAGTTAAGTCACATATCCAATAAAACGTCTGAGGTAGGATCTTAGTTAAGGTCTTCCTAATTCCAAGGAACACCTAACTTGAACACCTCCCCCTAGCATATACCAGAGGTATCAAACAAGAAGCAGTAACCACTCCTGAGGACTGCCAGATACAGATCACAATTACAATTACAATAATTAGGAAATATTTAACAAAATAAGAAAAAAATACAGTAGAACATAGATAATGCTAATATGTGTTTTTCTCTAGCAGAGCTCTTCATTCATGGTTTAGTAGCTCATTCTATTTGAGTCTGATAGCATTGCACTACAACACCTAACTGTGCCCAGGAAGAGAGTGAGGCTCACAACTTTGTGCAGCTCTGCCTCACTTAAATCCAATTAATATACAGGTCAAGACATCACTGGTGGTGTCACCGGTCCTTGGAAAACCAAGAATAATCACTAACAACTGTGCCCCCCCCCAAAAAAAAATGCCTCCTTAGTTTACTCAGCATTGTCTGTTCATTCTTGCGCCCAAATCTGCATCCTTTGTATTTTAACTGAGTAAAATAAGAGACCAACTTGGCAGGGGGAACCATCCCTCTCCCAGCTGCCATATGATCACAGTGGCGACTACTGGAAGAATTCCTACATCTACCCACCTCTCCTTTCCCTGCTCTCACAATATCATTTGTATCACATCTACCACCCACAATAAAAATGAGTGAAAAACAGTTCCAGCATCCCTCTTTCTCCATATTCCATTCATTCTCAGGTTAGAGAAGGAAGAAATTTTAAACTAGATGTTAGGGATTCAACATTACTTTGAGGAGGAGGAGGATTTTATTTTGGTCCAAATGAAGATGGAGGAAAGAAGAAACACATGGCAATCCTGAAAGGGGCATTCCTAGCCTCCTCCTCAACTTCTCAGTAGCCTTTGATACTGTCAAGCACCTTCTCTTCCTTGATACTCTCTTCTCTATGTTTTGGGGACACCACTCTCCTCTGGTTCTACTCCTCCCTACCTGACTGCTGTTTTTCAGTCTCCTTTGGTGGATCTTCATCCAGATAATTCCCTATAACCACAGGGTTCCACAGGATTCTGTCCTGGGCCTTCTCTTCTTCCTCTTCACTACTCCTCTCGTGATCTCATCAAGACCCATGGATCTGATTACCATTTCCATGCTGATGATTCTCAAATCTACCTATTCTGCCCCAACCAACCTGTGCTGACTTCCAATCTCCAACTGCCTTTCAGATGTCTCAAATTGGATGTCCAATAAACACCTTCAACTAAACATGTCCCAAACTGAACTTGGCATCTTCCCTATTATTCTTGAAGGCAACACCATCTTTCCAGTCCCTTAAACTGGTAACCTGGGTGTCATCCTCAACTCCTCACTATCTTAAACTGGTAACCTGGGTGTCATCCTCAACTCCTCACTATCTCTCACTCCACCGGATCCAATCTCTTGCTAAGATCTATCAAATTCACCTCTGTAATATCTCTTCAATATACCCTCTTCTCTCCTCTGACACTACCAGTGCCTTGATTCAGCAGACCCCTGTCACACCTCACATCTGGATCATTACAAAGGCCTGCTATTGAGTTGGCCTACCTCAAGTCTCTCCCCATTTCAATTCACCCTCCTTTCAGCCACAATGGTGATTTTCCTAAAGTACAAGTCTGACCATGTCACTCCTATGACTTAATAGAAGCCAGTAGCTTCCTATCACATCCATCATTAAATACAAAATCCTCTGGTATTCCAAGCCCTTAAAACTTAGCTCCTGGAAAACCAAGGAAACCTTACGTCCTACTTTTCCAGTCTCCTTATACTTATTCCCCGCCAGGGACCCTGGTTTCCTGTCTGTTTTATGCATAAGATACTCCATCTCTTAGCTCTGAGCATTTTCTCTGGCTGTCCCCATGCCTGGAATGCTCTCCCCTCCTTATCTCTACCTTCTGGCTTCCTGAAAGCCCCCACTAAAACCCAATCTTCTACAGAAAGCCTTTCCTAACTCCTCCTAATTCTAGAACCTTCCCTCTTTTACTTATTTCCTATTTATCCTGTACATAACTTGTTTGTATGTAGTTGCTGGCTTGTTGCCTCTCACATTAGACTGTGAGCTCCTTGAGGGCAGGGACTGTCTTTTGCCTTTTTTAAAAAAAAACTCTGTGCTTAGCACAATGCCTGGCACATAGTAGGCACTTAATAAATGTTAACTAACTGGCCACCTTCTCCTTTTTTGTTTCTTTTTCTGAACCCAGGAGAGAGACCAGCTTTTCAGACTACTGGATTTTCCAAGTCAAGATAAGGAAGCAGTCAGGACACTGATAAGAATTTCAGCTTGAAGCACATGACTGAGATAAACCTGTATTTGCAGGAAGCCTGAAGGCAGAGATCCAGAAAATAGACTCCCTGAGTCCAAGAGTTCCTGAATTCAAGACAGAGGGAAGAGATACCCCTTCAAGAGAGAGGTGAAGATCTTTTAGACGTGTCCAATGAATATATTTGTTTTGCTCGACTATAATTGTTTGTAACAGATTTTTTTTGTTTTTTGTTTTCCATTCACAACGGGGAAGGATGGGAGTAGGAGGAAGAGAGAGCATATTTTTGCTGTTTGAAAAAAAAATTAATTATAAAAGAGAAAGGTGAAGATTTCTTGATATAACACGTTCCTTGAGAAAAGAAGAGTCATTCATTTCTGTTCGACTACCTAATTGGAGAGCAAAGGCAGTGAGCTGCAGGGCTGAATATGTGGAGCTAAAGCCTGTGTGGGTGGGGAGATGCTTATTTAGCACAGAGTGCCTAAAATGGAAATTGGGAAATGTGTTACCCACACTTGAAACTTAAATGTGAGTAATATGTAAGTTTTATTTTGAAGATATCACTAAAGAAAACTCCAGGGTGGAGTCAAGAAGGCAAAGACAGAAACTGACCATCTCTGGGTCAGGCGCCCAACACTGGAAGCTCAGAATTCTTTGGGCTGGTAGCACTAGGCCAAGGGTTGCATTTGGGCGTGTTCTGAATTTACTAATTTGTGTACATACTGTTCCCCTCCCCTCTTCCATGACCTTTACAGGAGAACATAAGCTCCTGAGAGAAGGAGCTGTTTTGGTTTTTTTCTTCCTTTGAATACTCAAAGCCTAGCATAGTACCTGACACAGGGTAGGCATTTAATAAATGTTGTTGAATGGAAATTGAATTGAATAAATCAGTAATGGAATTGGTAATGGATGAAGAAGCCTCTTCTTTTTTTAAAATGTTTTTCTTGTGTCCTTAAATCATAAGGCATGGGCGATAACTATTCTATAAATATCTAAAATTCATCTTGATCCCAACCCTTTACCTGCTACTCCTGATGGTAGAACTTGGAGAGGAGTTTGAGTAAAGGGAATTGACTTGAGAGCCTACAGAGGCCTTAGAAATGATTTGGCCAATATCCTTATTTTGCAGATGATAATACTGAATTCCAGAGATGTAAGGTCAGGGACGCTCAAAAGTCCAGTGAGAGTTTAGACTAGAATCCCAGTCTTCTAACTACTGGGCCAATGTCTTTGCATTACATCAGTATTAATGGAGAAGGGCAGCGTCCCTACAGAAGTTCCAGGGTCATTTTAATTGATTTGAAACATCTGCCAACCAAATGTAATGCATATATGGCTGTTTAACAAGTTTTTGATGATGCAGGAGGAAAAAAGGAATCGTTTAAAACTTAATCTAGTCTCAATTAAATAATGATGAGATTTGTAAAGGTTTCAGTGAACTTTGATTTTGTTTTCCATATGATGGAGGAGCCTATAGAGACTTCGAAATGGGAAGAAAACTTTAAAGCAAGGTGACTGTGAAGTTTGTAAACTGTCAGAATCCATCATCTTAGGTTCATAGGATCACAATTTTAGAGATGGGAGAGACCTCTGAGGTCATCTAGATCAACAGATTCATTTTACAATTGAGGAAACTGAGCAATGACTTGACCAAAGTCATTCTGATAGAAGAGGCCAAAGCTGAGATTTAAATCCCAATCTGCTGATTCCAAATCTAGCCCTCTTTCCACTACACCACTCTGCCTCTCAACAAGGTCAGAAAAACAAAACAGACCTCAGGAATTTTTTTTGGGGGGGGGAAGTAGACATCTTACTATGATATATAAAAAAGGACCCATGACTATCCAAATAAAATGAAAATCAGCTGTATTCACCATAAGCTACATGCACATGCATGGGTGGTTCCTATGAAAAATACTTAAATAAGGTGGGCCAAGATTTTTTAAAAATGATTTCAAAATTAAATGTGGCAGGCTGATGTGAAGAAAACTGCTCAGTGGCTAAGCCGTGACAAGGCAGGAAACACGTGACTATGTGGGATACAGCCTGTTTGATAAATACATGTTGCTTGATAAATATGATGTAAGGTACCAGTTACTAAACTGTAAAAGAAACAGGCAAAAAAAAATCATTCTTTGCCTCTTGACCAGAAATGAATGTTGTCTTGAATAAAATGGGAGTTAAATTAATTCCTTGAAATTAGTAAAAATGTTGGAGTAGAATAAGACGAAAGCCTTTTCTATTCCTATATGATCAATGAAAGCTGCAGAGAGGTAAATTGCTCGATATAAAGAAAAAAATTATTAATACTGAGAGCTATACAAAGGGGGTTCTTAATCTGGTAGCAGTCTGGACTGGAGAGCTTCTGAAGTCAGGTTATCAAGCAGTTATAAAAACACCTATCTGTGTTACGGTCCCTTCCTGATTCTATTCTATCGAGACACTTTTTTTTAAAAGTGCCTTTCATTCAAGTTTTTTTTCCTCTCTTTGACCTTGAGATCTTTAGTCTATGTAAAGTTCTTCTTCTCCTCCTCCTGCTCTTCCTTCTCCTTTTTCTTTTTTTGTTTAACCAACGGGGTTAAGTGACTTGCCCAGGGTCACACAGCTAGTAAGTGTTATGTGTCTGAGGCCACATTTGAACTCAGGTCCTCCTGACTCCACGGCCAGTGTTCTATCCACTGCGCCACCTAGCTGCCCCTCCAGTTTTTTTCACTATCACAAAAACTGTTGCTACCAGTATTCTGTCACATACATCAAACTTGTCTTCCCATCTCTGGCTTCCTTGGGATATTAGCTCAACAATGGGATGATTACTGGATCAAAGGTGTAAGCAGTTTGGTAACTTCTCTTATGAATAAAATTAATTAGTCCAGGACTGATTTATAGCTCTGACAAGAAAGTACTAGCGTAATACTGTTGGGAGAGCTGTGAAATGGTCCAAACATTCTAGAAAACAATTTGGAACTGTGCCCAAGGGCTATGAAACTGTGATCTATGAACAGTTAGAACATATATGTGATCTATGATCTATGAACCCTTTGATCTAGCCATACTACTACTAGGTCTATGCCTCAAAGAGATCAAAGCAAAAGGAAAAAGGACCCATATGTATAAATATATTTCTAATTGCTCTTCTTGTGGTGGCAAAGAATTAGAAACTGAGGGAATGCCTGTCATTTGGGGAATGGCTGGACAAACTGGTACATGATTGTGATGGAATACTGTTGTGCTATAAAAAAAATGAAGAGTATAGTTTCAGAAAAACCTAGAAAGTCTACACTGCTTTCTTGCTTCTATGTACTCCTATTGCAATTATAATCAATATTCTACAGTTCAGGACTAATTTTTAAAACTGGTTTAACAAGTATTAGCCTTGGTCTGCTCAATTTTGAACTCCTTGAGACAGATACTCTATTTTAAACTTCTTTATACCTTCCAAAACAAATAGCACGATGCTTAGCATAAGTCCTAACTTACTGAAAAACCTGATTTATTTGGAAGGCCAAAAGCATGGGGTGTAACAGAAAAAAAAAAAAAGCAGATTCAGGGGTCTGAATCCCAAGCTTTGCTAATCTGTTACCTGTGTGACGTAGGTCAAGTGACCAAGCAAATCACTGGCTCTCTCTGTGTTCTGGTTTCATGAAATGATTAGATGATCTGATCTCTAAGCTTCACCCAGCACCCCCCTCTTTTTCAGTAAACAGTTGAGAAATTTTAGAAAATGATTTTCAAGGCTCAATTGATAATTTCATATATGTTTCAAAATACTTCTTTGCATTCAGCATCAAAGAATTTACCATTCTATAACACAGATTATGTATGTAATACATATAAATTTTATGTAATATAATATTAACATATAATATAAACCTTTAAATACACTCTAGATTTTCAGAAAAGGCTCCTTTATAGTAATTCAAGCACCTTCCATGCTTGCAGGGAATTACACAGTACTCTGCATGTAGGAGCTCAACACTTCACATCTGAGGAAGAAATAAAACATGGCCAACACTAGTGTTTGCCCAAGCTTGTCACATTTCGAATCTCAGTGTCCTATTCTAAGAAACCCCTTCACGCAACAGAGGAGAAATTTAAAATATAATTAAGCATCACATCTCCCCCAAATAGGCAATTAGTGGTATTTAATCATCAGCTAATGTTCTAGCAAACATTTGTTAAGTACAATGATGGTAAACTTTTGAGCCAGAGCAGCTATTACCAGCTTTTATACCCCTAACTTCAGGCAGGCCTGTGAATTGGCTGAGTACCTGTGTATTTCCAGGTCACTGATTTCCATTTATGACATAGAACAAGAGACAGATTTCATATTGTGCAACCAAGATGTAGAGCCTGATGGAAGTGATCCCTTTAAATGGTATCCCTTAAATAATCATTGACAGAGGAAATATTTCTCCAAATACCCTTCCCCTGCCGGGTTTCAGCTTCCTCCTTTGGACATGTTTTTTATGTGTAGGAACATGTACAGGCACATATACACATGAACACACAACCAAGTTAAAAGTCTCACAAAGGGCATGGTTTCTTTTCTAAGTGAAGGTTCCTGGGATGAACTGTGTTTTCTTGGTTACATGCATTAATCAACATGTTTTGCGGATTTGCAGAAGTAGGTTCAAACCACAGCTGTATAACACTGTGTGTGGGTTCAAGTTCAAACTCATGCGGTGAAGGATATGAGAACAAATCACCACAATTCTAGAAACAAACAACAAAAAAGGGCAAGCTATGGAGACATCAGGCCGTCCAAAGGGACAGCTCAGTGTGAAAAAGCTACTATGCTCTAAGAAAAGACAAACAAGGTGGGGTGATCACAACTGCCCACATTTCCTCTGGTGTGCACCGTGTCATTAGTTAGCAGCCCCATACCTCTGATACATATAGCTGCAGCCGTGACTATACCTCATCATATCCCTGGCCAATCTGATTGTGTCATCTATCAGCTTTATTAACAAAAATTCCTAGATTGTTGTCTCATCTTAAAACCAAGGTCACAAAACAAACCACCATGTTCTATCAGGCACTTGGAAAAACTCATGAGCAAACATTATAAGCATTACATGTCAAAAATATACCAGTTACCCAGAAACTTCCCTTGCAAAGAGAGACCGGAGTAGGCAAATTGCCCATCAGCCCTGAATCTGACAAAGGAAAAGAAATTCATGGCATCAGGGTAGTTACTTAGTGGTTATAGAGAGCTGACTCCAGGTAGTAGGTTCAAGTCCTGACTTTGAGAACCACTGACTAAGTGACTTCAGGAAAGCCACTTAACCTCTGTAGTCAATTTTCTAAGACAGGGTTACAGAGAAGTTGCCAACCTGCACTGGTGGAATGAATTTCTTCAACAGAAATTTCTTCCACCAAAAAAAAAAAAAGCGGGGGCGGGGGAGGGGGAGACAGCTAGATGGCACAGTGCATAGAGCTCCAGCCTTGAAGTCAGGAGGACCTGAGTTCAAATGTGACCTCAGACACTTGACACTTAACTAGCTGTGTGACCCTAGGCAAGTCACTTAACCCTGACTGCCTCACCAAAAAAGCAAAAAAAAAAAAACATTTCTTCCACCAATGAAATTGTTAAATGCCTGACACTGCCTTCCTCCCCCAAATTGTTTTAAAGTAGTTTAGAGAAAAGACTGAGTGCTGGGCCTGGAATGAAGACGACTCCTCTTCCTGAGTTCAAATCTGGCCTTAGACATATCTGTGTGACCCTGGGTGAGTACTTTTTGCCTCAGTTTCCTCATCTGTAAAATGAGCTGGAGAAGGAAATGGCAAACTACTCCAGCATCTTTGCCAAGAAAACCCTGAATGGGGTCAC